GTGCAAATTACTGACCTCTGTCATCATTTTAAGTGGGGGAACTTGCACAATCGGTGGCTGACTAAATACTTTTTTGCCCCACTGTATGTATATATTTTTAGTTGTATCCTGCTTATTTATTTTTTTCCACGTGCTATGTTTTTATTTTATTAATCTCCTTGTTTATAGCAGTCACAGCATGCTACTGATCACAACATGCTCTGCTGAGCCAGATAGAGGAAACAAGCCGCAGCAAGCATCTTTGCCACCTTATTTGCAGGATCAGTTTACACTCTTGGCCTGTGATTGACAGCTGAGAAAAAATACCAAACTCATTGCCAGAGCTCATGAATGGAACTGCATTGCTCAAATATTATACTCTGAAATTCACATTAATATCATTTTTCTGTAATTGCTTATTGTGCCTCACCGGCTGGGTCTGAATTTACATTCACTGAATGGTAACTGATGGACGACTCACGGGAGCTTTCTGTTGTTGGCACAGCACAGTTTCTGTGTCTGGCAGTTGCTTTTGCCCACTTTACTGGAACATTTCACTGCATATACAGAGCCGAGACATGGTGGGCAGAGCATCTCTGTGTCTAGGTGACGTTTCTCTCGCAAGAATTTGCTACTGTTATTTTTAGCTGTTGTAGACTCTTAGGGGAAATGTAACACTCGTGGTAATGAAACTCTGTTTGTTCACTCTTGTTCAATTAAACATTAAAGCACAACACCAGTGTTAATGACACACAGGTCACAGAGTCTGTTCGCCTCATCAGTTGCTGAAGCAAGCCACATTAGAGTCACAATTTAAGGTGACATTCAGAGGTGGCATTGTATTTTTAGCAACTGATGAACTGCCAGTCCTTGAAGTATCAAAGGTATAACTCCCCATTGTCTAAGACTGTGAATGATACAGTAGCTTGGAGTATTATTCATTCATCCATTTCCTTCACGGCTTATTCTTTTAGAGGTGTTGAGAAGCAGAACACCTTTTATTTACTTTTTAATGACCACACACAAACTGGTGGAACTTGTAGAAGCACATGTATGTGATGACACATAACCACATACCCTAACCATAAAAAGCTTCATATATACACTGAATTAACTAAAGGTATTCAAATGCTTATTAACGCAAATATCTAATTAGTCAATCAGCAGCTCGATGCATTTAGGCATGTAAATATGGTCAAGAAAGTCCAAACTGAGCAATGGAGAACAAAGGTAATTTCAGTGACTTTGAAGTTGGCATGGTTGTTAGTGCCAGACGAGCTGGTCTGATTATTTCAGAAACTGCTGATCTACTGAGATTTTTCCACATTAATCTCTCTAGGGTTTCGAGAGAATTGCCCAAAACAGTGAAACTTTCCACTGAGCAGAGTGAAAATACCTCATTATTGTTAGATTAGAATGACCGGAATCCTTTGAGCTGATAGAAGGCCAGCAGTAACTCAAGTAACCACTCATTACCACCAAGGTTGTACCAAGCCAAAACCACCAACCAATCAAAAGAGCATCTCTGAACACAACATACCAAACTTAAACACAACAGCAGGAGACCACACTGGGTGCCACTCTTCTAAGTACAGGAAATTAGAGATACAGAGGTTTACAGGAGACTACAGATAGCATGGATGGACTGTCAGACATGAACAGCAGAATATTTTTAATATATCTGATGTGTCTCAATTTCTGCTGCATCACTGAGTTAGTAGAATTTTTCCATGAACCACATGTAATAATGGTTTTGGGCAATATTTTCTTATTAGACTTTGGGCCATCTTAATACCAATTGAGCTTTGTTTAAACACTATAGTTACTGGCCATGTCTATCCGTTTTTGACCACAGCATACCATCTACTGATGGCTGCTTCCTGCAGGAGTTCTCTATTCTCCAATCGCCTCCACTGGCATCACATCTTAATATCAGTATGGCTCAAATTATTGAGGAATAGTTTCCAGCGCCTTGTGAAACTATGGCACAAAGGATTAAGGCAGTTTTGAAGGCAAAAAGAGGTCCAGCCCAGTACAGCAAGGTGTAACTAATGAGGTGGCCGGTGAGTGTACTGTAGTCATCAGATCATTATTATTAGAATTTTGTCAATTAAATTATTGCTTCTACTGTTACTATAAAATATACAATTACTGACCCTTGCATCAAACCTTTAAAGCATAATGAAACTATGTTAACAAATATGAATTTCTTAAATATGGGACAACACAGCACAGTCAGGTTCATCCTAGTATCCACCACACTGGTAGTCTTAATGAGAATCCTCAATTTCATTCTCTGACCAGCAATTTAAAAAAAAGCAGAAAAAAATCCTATGAGCACTACTTTGAGTTGTATTTTTCTTTAGCTTTCGACATGACTGTCCTTTTGGGGGGGATTACTGTAGTGTCTGAGCAGAGAGGGGAGGGCTGATGGTTATGTCATTGTTTGGACTGAGTGGGAACCTCCCATCACAGATGTCAAGTTGAACTGCACCCATGACACCCTATAGGGCTCAACAGTTACCGTGTCCCACCCCCGTTACACCTGCTCTGTGGGCTGAGCAGGACTGTACCCCTCTACACTGGCCAGGCTGAATATTTAGGGATAAACATATTTAAAATATCTGCCTCTGATAGCCGTAATTCCCCTTTTACTGTTGATATCAACACTATGTCAATATTGCACAATGTAGGCCTAATCCAAAAAGCTCTTAAACATGTAAGATGATTACAGAGCCGCTATAGTGTTGTTGGACAGCTTACGTAACACACATATTTTCCTCTATCTCCTATTTTTAATATGAGATATCCATACTTTGCACACAAGCTGTTGTCTTTTCTTTTCCGCCGTTCCCGTTAGTTGTTCTTTTCCGCAGCCTCTGAAACTGCCTCTGCAGCCTGCCATAATCCCTGATCATGAATCCCTAACTCCCTGAGTAAACTGGTACTAGATGTGGCCGCAGATCCATGGTAACAAAATTCCACAGGGCATACCCTGGCTTTCCAGCGTTGCTGCTAAATCTCATCTGTTATCTCAGTAAACCTAAGCTTCTTCCGCTCATATGCCTCATCTGCTGCATCTTCTTATGGTGAAGGGAGTTCTGCCATGTGAAAAAATAGCCCACAGACTGCTGGACCAGAGTACTAAGAAAAATCTTGGTGCATGGCTGAAATTATAAACCACTGTAACTGTGACCTTTTTTTTTTTAAAAAAAAAGCACATCCTGCTTTTGACTATATTATGTTTTTTAAACATAATAGAACAGCACATGTGTAGTGTCAAAGTAATGCAGTATTCACTCGCTTCAAATATACTTAAAGGGTATGCTAAGTGTATCCTCTTGCACAGCAAACATCAGATATTATTCCTTGTTTCTTGTAGGAAAAAGGTCTGCTCTGATACACTAAACCTTTTTTTATCAGCCACAAAGTACGTTATACAGATATACATTTCTTTCAAAGGAGCAAGAAAGAGGAGGAAATGAAAGCGCATTACTAGGGTTTGCCTGTTCAGGTTTAAATTAAAAATTCAGAAGGCAGATAGGGGGGTGGAGGACACTGAGCATCATCGACTGTGCTTCAAAATGGGGCCAATCCTCCCGCTGACCCACAATTGGGTCAGTTTTACCCTTGTTTCTTAAATATATAGAGGAGCAGCCTTAATTCCATGACTTATATTAGATACTAGTGGCACTGATTTCAGGACTTCTGTTTTTTGTGGTCCAGCATCGCTCGAGTCAGATTGCATGTATTACATCTTTTCTTGCAGGTTTTCAAGGAAAGAGTTGTGAAGTTGACATAGATGCTTGTGCCCTGTCCAACATCACATGCCCACTAAATACTGAGTGTTTGGATCTCCCTTATGGGCTTGAGTATACCTGCTGTGTACCCTGTCCTCAGCACCTTCAGGTGTGTAAAAAAAAAATAAAAATCTTGACGTGCTTTTTTTTTGTCCTCGTCTACTGTCTGCAAATATAAATAAGCTCAGTTCTCAGTAATATCATTTTGTGGATTTGTTTTATTTTTTTATGCTAGACAAAGTTTTGGATATAACTGTGACATATCTCAACAAACTAAAACTTTAGAAGGTGTGGGTTTCAGAGAGTCAGTGTTTTTTCTGAAATGGTGAATATTCTTTCACAATGGTTTTCTTTTATGAATAGAAGACAGGCACCAAATGATAATCCCTAAACACAGCAATCATCGGATGTTGCAGCTGCGCAATATCAATCAGCTAACGGCAAGAAAGTTTTATTAAATTCTTAATCGAGAAATCAAATGAAATTTTTCGCTGTGCGGAAAATAAAAACAATAAAAAGCAGAACAGCATAATGTTAACAGTTAGTTAACAGTGTAGTAAATGTTTAATTTTTTTTAAATGCAGTTTCCATATATAGTACATAAGAAATTATGTTGGAGGAAAGCAACGCTGGAATTGGATTTTTGGATTGTGTTTGGCATGAACAATGTTTGCACATTTACAGAACTGAAAAGGCCACCTGACTTGGATGTGTATGTTTGTATGTGTATATTATGTATGTGTGAACAGAGAAAGTGCTTCAGATGACAGATGGAGATGATCGCTCACTGTGTAGCAATGCTTGTGTTGGCCCTTGTACAGAAGTGCCATGATGCCTGTATTATAGACCTTTCCACAAGCAAGCTCTTCCCCTGCCCCTTTGTTTTTCCCCGGTGGCATCCACGCATCCACGTGCTAGCAGGTGTACTTTTTTTTTTTTTCCTCTCAGGAGGTTTAGCCTTCAGTGACCATTGATCTTGTCTTGTATGACATGTAGCTGCTACATGGATTCCCAAGTGACCCCAGTATAAAGCATGAATCAGTATTCATGACTTTGTCGTGCGATTTTAATGAAGCTCATTTTCAGGTATCCAGGGGCAAGAAATGATTAGGGGGAAAAAAGATGGTTATATTTTCTTTAATCTGAATAAGCTCAGCCCCATTTAAAATATCATACAAAATAAAAGAGTTTCCTTTTTGCTCATGAAACAGCATATCTGGTTTCATGACGTGTGTATCTAAAAACATCTATTTCCAATCAACAGCCTTGTGCCTTTGGAGGACGCTGTGTGTTAAATAACAGCAGTGCTTATCGATGCATCTGTACCCCTGGATGGTCTGGGCAGGACTGCCGCGTAAATGTCAACGACTGTATTGAACATGGGTGTCAAAGTGGAGGCACTTGTATGGATGAGATTGATGGTTACCGGTTAGTGTTCAAATCCTGATGGTCTTGGGGCTGTTCTGCCACCAGAATGTCAATGATTGTAAAAGCTGTTACATTTACTGCGCTTTTCCTTCAGGCTTGAAAGAATTCTTCTAACTCTATACAGTATTAAGAGATTCTCTTTGATCTGTTGCTAGCTGCCTTTGTCCTAGAGGATACACAGGCATCTACTGTGAAGAGGACATTGATTACTGTGTTGACCACCGCTGCTCTGAACATGGTTTTTGTCTGGACCAGCAGTATAACTTCACTTGCCGTTGCATGCTTGGATTCGAAGGACCGCTTTGCGAAGTGGAAATAAATGAGTGCCACAGCCTCCCTTTTTTAAATGGTGCCACCTGTGTGGACCTAATCAGTGATTATTGGTGCCACTGTCCCCCAGGATTTTAGGGTATGAGACCATCTGATGTGAATGCAGTGCTGTTTACAATCATTAATAGTACCAGTGACAGGAATATGAGGTTCTGGAGCAGTTTTTAGTGTGCAAATGTTAATTATGGAGCATATAATTAGCGGGTTTATCATAATTTGTAATGAGTAAAGCAATAACATTTAAATTTTATAGGCAGTCATGTTAAAGAGAAATTTTTTTGATGACTCTTTGCAGTCCTGTAACAGTAACAGTAACAGCAAGGGGTGATGAGGAAGTGTGTTTGACTGACTGATCATTAGTAATTGTGAACACCTCTATAATAATAGAAGGTTTGGCTTTCGCTTTTCTGCACCGTTCAGGTGTCACAATCTTCCCAGGAGTGTGGGTGTCTAAACAAATTCACCCTAAGGTAACATTATGCAATGCTTAGAGAAACTGCAAGAGCTACATCTCAGATTCTGCAGGTCTTAATTTGCATTTATAATGTTGAAGTTAACGGCAGTACAATAAGAAAAAGACTGAGTGATTACGGCTTGTTTGTAAGGTTTTACAGGAGAATGCCTCCTCTCTCCAAAGAGAACATTTTAAGTCCAAAGCGGAGATTTGTGCTGATAACCAAACACATATCACTAACATCTCTTACTAACTGTCAGCACGGTGGTGGAAGGGTCATGAATTGGATTTGTTTTGTAGCCAAGGGACTTGGGAACTTTCCAGTCATTGAGTTGACAATGAACTCCTCTGTATTCCAGAGTGTTCTAGAGTCAAATGTGAGGCCATCCAAGACCCAAAGCTTGACAGAAATTGGCTCGACCCAAACAACAGGGCAGTGATCTCAAGCACAGCAGCAAATCTGTGGCAGAACGAAAAGAATCACTTAATCAAAGAATCAGCCATTCATGCAGCTTTGTGTTAACAAGA